TTACTTCTGTGTATCTTACCAGAGAAATCAAAACCACTCTGGAGTATATAAACATAAAAGTTCTCATGAGAAATATTTATAAATTTACCTACAATGATAGTAGAAACTTCTATTAATGAAATCACCAAGAATAGAAAGGCAAAGCCATAGTACAGGACAGGATATCAGCACTTTATATAACAAAGGACTTGTATTCAGAACACATAAAGCACTCTTGCCAATCTATCAAATAACACAGTAGAGAACTGGGCATGACCTCATAGAAAAGAAAGAAGGTGCTCAACCTCATAAACTGGGAAAATGCAAATTCAAACCATGGGAATGTTCCACTCAATATGCACTGGAGCAACCAAAATCAAAGACTGATAATACAAGTTTTGGTGAGGATATGAATAAGTAAAGCCATTTGTGGGCCGGCCAGATAGCTAGACTGACCAGATAGCTCAGAGGACTAAAGTGCCTGCTTAGGCAGTGCACAGCACCCAGGTGTGTACCTGTAATTCCAGTACTTGAGAGGCTGAAAACAGGAGAATCACTGAGTCTAATCTACACAGTGAGGCCCTGTAGCAAATACATAAAAATTAAATAAATAAGTAAAACCAATTGACGATATCTACCCAAACTCAACATGGATTGTGATGGTGAGAATAAACTTTCCACAAGACTGGCTTTGGGAGATTGCCCAGAGGCTGGGAAGCACACTTCTAAGTGTGCTGGGTGGGTCAAGGAAATGTGGCCTTGGGGCTCTGTCTAGGCCTTTCTCCAGTTCTGTTCTGGTGCTACTTCCCTGTTCTGCCTGGCCTCCCTACATTAATGAGTTTTGTCTTGCCACACCTTTCTGTCACCTGAATCTGGTCATGGACTGAAACCTTGAGCAAATTAACCTTTCCTCCTGTAACTGATGGGTGATGAGCACTGTGTCTCAGTGATGAGAAAGTTGATTAATCTATGCATAAATGCCCAATTACTCAGAAATTCTACTCAATGTAAATCCAGTGGAAATACTCATTCTATATTATGTACCCAAAAGCATATAAAACAATGTTCAAAGTAGCACAATTCATAATAGGGAAGAAGGCCTAGTAATAACACAAATGTCTGTCAATAAGAAAATAAATTGTAGTCTTTTAATACAATATAGCAGTGAAATAAATTAGAGTTACATTACAGATGCTAATCACATATACATATACAGTGATACTAAGTGAATGAATGAAATACATTATACATAAAAGTATGTATTGGGCCAGCCAAATAGCTCAGTGGATTAAGGCGCAGGGACCAGGGGTTCGATCCTAGGTCTGCCATGCTGGCCCCACCCCTGGAGCATGCTGGGACAGCAACTGAGACTGGGCATGCTGGCGTGAGCCTGAGTCTGATCTAGTAGTAAGACCCTGAATACCCTGTAAACCCTGCCCTAAAATTTTTAAAAAAAGAGTATGTATTACATTATTCCATTTCTCTTAAGTTCAAAAACAAGGAAAAGTAATTTATGATGTTTGTGGTCCAGACAATAGTTACTAGAATGGAGTGAGGTTAGTTGCATATTGGAGGGCCCATGAAGGGGATGCTGTTGAGGGACTCCCATGATTTACATTAAAAGCATGAGTTGATATCATCATTCACCAAACTATACATTTACGATTTATACAATTTTCAGGATGTACGCAAACTTCAATTAAAAAGTTTAAAAAGTTTATATAGAGAGGTAGTCAAAGAGGGAGACGTGAGGAAGAACTCCACACTGACAGCATTTCTACCTGGGCATCTCTCTTGTGAAACAAACTATGCCTGCTTACTTAGGAACAAGCACTGAAAGGGCAACGTCTTTCTGATTATTTCTTTTTTTCTGGTTAGCCAGTGAATTACAGAGCAAGGATAAGGTTAAAGACTGGGTCCAGTAGCTGCTGCTACTAGACAGTTATCATTTACTGGCTGCTTATTATAAGACAGTACTTTATATAGCACTTCATATAATCCTCACAACCTTAATTATCCTTGCTTTATAAATTATAAAACCAAGCACAGAGCAGTGAAAGAGTTTGCCCAAGGTCACAAATCCCACAAATGAGAGGGTTCAGGTTCGATCCCAAGACTATCTCTCTATTCCCACGGCCTGCACTCTTATGCATGAAGTTGTACAGGTCAAACAAATACATTCAGTGAAGGACTAGAATGGGAGCACAAAAAGTAAAAAAGGAAAAAGTATCAATATTGCTGAAAATCTGTTATAGAACTGGTGAGCACGAAACATGCTTTGTGCCCTTGTACAAAGATGAGCTATGTGAGAAGACATTCTCGCTGACAGAGAAGTGTGCTGACAGAAACTCACCACTGCCCTTTGTGAGCACAGTTCTCAACAAAATATAGGAACTCAAGAGATGTAGAGTACAGACTCTGAGAAAAACCAACAGCAAAGTGATCATGAGTGTGCCAGATAATGGCACTGAATGAAGCAGATAGGAAATAAGACAAAAAAACAAACAAACAAACAAAAAAAAAAACCAAAAAAGAGTAATCCTTAAGTCAGACAACGAAGCTATACTAACTAGTTCAATTTCCGACAAAAACTATGTAACAATGAAGAAAAAGTCCTAAAAATACTGGATATAACATGTTCATCCATAATGCATATTTCAAAAGACAAAGAGGGGATCTGCATTTGAGGTATTTAAAGGAGGTTAAAAGAGTCAGAAGATCAGAAAGTAAGATTTGTAAAATGCTACATGAATAGGATTCTCAGTGTTTCCCCTTGGCAGGAAGATCTTAGGCAACTATAAGTAATCCTGAGTCTGTAAATATTTTAAAGACATAAGAAAAAAATCTCTAAGACATCAATAGGTATCAAAATGAGTCTTTATGCTGTAAGACTAGTATAATCAGGTAGACACAAAACCCTCTAGTAAGGGTTTACTATTAGAAACCAACCATTAATCTCTTTCATAAATTTGTCCTAATTATGCATAGGCTGAGGATCGCTTATCCAAAATGCATAGGACCAGAAGTGTTTCAGACTTGGAATTCTGGATTATGCACAATGACACATCCTGCATGAAACCCGAGTTTAATCACAACATTCATTTATATTTCATAGTATCTCACACACAGAACCTGAAGGTGATTTTATACAATATTGCTTTAGTGTACCTGCATTTTGCTTGTGAGCTGTCATGTGCAGTCAAGTATGGAATTTTCTAATTGTGACATTAAATCAGCACTCAAAAAGGCCTTTTGTGATGTTCAGAGTCAAACCCTCACATGCCAGGCAAGTGATATGCCACTGAGCTATGTCTCCAATGCTTGGATTTCTGGGTTGGGGTGCTCAACCCGTTATTTGTTCCAAGCCCAAGGACAGCAAAGACGATGCCTTTTTTTTTTTTTTTTTTTTAAATGAATAGTCCAAGAACAGTTCTTGGAACACATCTGCTTGGTGCTTCTTAATGAATGGATGAGCTGTGTAATTCTAGAACCAGAAAACATTACTTCCCAAATCACATGAATCTGGCATGGCATATCACCAAATTCAAGAATAAAAATACTTAAAATAGATAGGCAAAGCCTTCTCATATCAAAACTAGTATCTGTTTTGCTCATGTTCTCCTAAACATTCCCAGCTTTAACCATGAATGATACATGTTCAGTCCTACTTGTCATTCCTTACCTAGAATTGATAGCACTGAGTAACTATTATCATGACCTTCATTATGTTCTGGAAAAAAAAAAAATCTTTCTTAGGAATCCTAATCTTGAAGACATTTGAAATAAAAATTATAAATACTTAAATAAGGTCGAACACCAAGACAGCTAGACTGCAAATAGATGCACTCTCTGAAGCATGATTACAAACAGGTCTGCGGGCTAGCAAATTAAGCACATATTAAATATTTAAAGCCATATACAGAATAAAAGACTACCACACTATTGGCCAAATAATGAACTTTCATGTGTTTATGTTATTATTTAAATTAATAGAGAAGGGACTGGGGATTTAGCTCAGTGGCACAGCACCTGTCTGGCAAGTCTAAGGTCCTGAGTTTGATTCCTAGTACAAATACATGCATAAATAAATAGAGCAACTTTCTTATATTCATTTGTGTCATACATGTAAAATCTGAGAAGAGTTAAGACATGAAAAAAAGCTTTGACAAGGGAGTAAAAAAGTTCATGTCCATGGCATCACATCATCAGTCACACTGGCCAGCTCAGCTCTGATGTAGGAACCTCATGTCCCACTATGGCTGCAAGCAGAACAAACTGCTCTAGGACAAGCTGGGCAAGGTAGTGCACGCCTGTAATCCCAGAACCCTGGGAGGCTCAGCTCAGAGGAGGACTGGAAGTGCCAGGCCAGGCCAAACCAAAAACGAAGGGTGGGGTATAGGTCAGTACAAAGGCCCTGGGTTCAATTCCCAGTGCCACACACAAACAACAACAATAACAACACAAAACAAAAAGTAACACATTATTTCTTTACAAAGGCAAAGTTTACTTAAGAAATAATTTATCAGCTAATTCTGAGAATGCCTATATTTTTTCTAAATGCACATTAGAATGAGCTTTGTAAAAAATCAATTCACAAAACTGAATTCACCTTATTCTATATACATGACAATTCCACGTTATAGGCTAATTTTCAATAAAGCCTTTATAGGGAATTGAACTGACTTTAAGACTTAGGGACCTTTTGCTGAAAGTAAAGTACCTAACTACCAAATTACTGATATGTACTCTAAACCAAAACCTGCTATAATATATACCCAAATGACATTAAGTTCAAAGGTTATCTCCCTGCATTTCAACTAGAAAAAATGCCTAATGTATTGAGGCTTGAGCTTAAAGTTCCTTAACACACTAAACAGGACTTGGGAGGCCAATAGGTGAAAAGTTTGTTACCTAGTACCTACGATTCAGCAAGTGCTATGAATTGGTAATTATTTCTATTTTCTTTCCTTACTACTAGTGTTGCAACACAAGCATTAAAATTCTAGGATTATCATACTTACCTGTATGGTTTATCAGAGTTATGAATTCTTCTGTGGTTTCTGACACCAACGTATGTTGTACTTGTGTAACTGCACACATCACATCTATACTGTTTCTGGATTGAAGACTTACTCCCTAGACAAGGTATTTGAGAATTTTAGAAGCATGCTTTGGTAACATTCAAATCACAGCATTTATATTCCATAGTAAATGAATATTTATACCACACAGTATTAACACTTCAATCAAGGTTTTCTCACTGCTTAAATTTAACAAGTTTGAAGGGGCTTTATAGATTCTCTGGCACCTACACTATCAGCAAATATAAACCAAACATCATCTGACCCGTGAATAAAGATAGGCTAAGCTGGTTTCTATAAACTTTGTATAAAATTCTAAAAGTATAATGAACTTGCTGCCAGCTGCTCTACTGACTGTGGAGCTGAGTTAACCAGAGATACACTGTTAATCTGAAAGGTGCTCGTCTGATTAATACTGGATATACTATCTTGAAGAAAAATTTGGCAGTGAGCTATAATTTAATACTACAGTTGCATATAAAGTATGGCCATGAAACACATAGCACATTCAATAAAAAAAAGCATACAAGTCTTTCATTTTGTGGTTTTCCCCTGATTTGCAATTAATGTCAGCTATCAGTTCAACATGGGAAGAAAAGCAACTGAAAATTATGAAGTGCTCTACAATGTAGTATAATTTTATCTAATAAAATGGCAGGTTACAGGGGCAAAGGTCATGAAAACATATGCAGCTCTCTAGGAAAACATGCATCTGATAGGAACAAGCAATGTTACTTATTCTGCAACAGGGCTGAGTAGTTCAAGCATGATGATATAAGTCACTATTTGATCACATGAAATGTTTCCTGAAGATATTTGGGCTTTATCTATTTTTCTGTCAGCATAAAGTCCATAGCTATTCCTACCCTGCCTGCTTTATATTCAGAAACAAGGCAAGCATGGGAGTTTAAAAATTTGGCAAAGCAGGAAGAGCTGTGTGTCCTTTGTCAGAAGAAAGCTTAGGCAGAATACCAGTACACAAAGTATAAAAGTAGAATTAGTTGTACAAAAGAAAACCCACAGTGAAATTTCAGCAAAGAAAATCCTTAAGTTAAATTTAAGCTTTCTAAAATTGAAATCTTCTTTGGCTAATAACACTGTCAGGCAGAACAAAATGCCCTAATTTCCTGGTATAAATCTATAACACTAATACATAATCATAATTATAATCTAAGTACTGCTTTTAATTGGTAGGTTAAAAACTTGGACTTGATTATAAATGGCATTGTTCCAAACACAGTTTGAAAAAAAAAAAGAAAAAATGAAGTGAGAAATATTGGATAATGGTTTTGTGTGAGAAATATTACAGATCAATGACAACTAATAGAAGTGACAGATGGAAAAACTTAATATAGCACAGAATGAGAGCCTATGCTACTTCAAACAAATGTTTCCAATGGAAAGAGTGGTATTAAAGTTCTAAAATTTAGGCTGAGTCCTTGCTCTGCCACTTACTACTTGTATGATCAAGGGCAAATTATTTTACCTCTTCAAACTTCAGTTTTATCATCTACAAAATGGAAATATTAGAACCTCACAGTATGGCTAGGAAGTCCTATATTTTTTTCTTCACCAGAGTTATACATTACCTGCCTGACTGGGTAAACTCTTTGCCCTATTACTGAGTATAGATTCTCTGAGGCTAAGGACCTGTCTGCTTTGTTTATGCTGAACCCCCAGGTCTTGACAAATTATAGGTTCCAAGAAAGGAGAGTTAATTAAATTTCATGAAAAAACACCACATGAAAGTGCTTTGCCCATGGCTCTTCTTAGAGGACCTATGGAGTCTGCTGACAAACCCATTAGTCCCTTCTAAGTTCTCCACTGGCCAGGGTTCAAGGGCTATGACACCCTTCATTGTACCCCCAGCACCTGGCGTAAGTACCCAGTTCAAGACAGGCATGCAAGGCTGTTTGGCTGAGTGGAGCGTACTGAAGTACAATTACACTGGACTTGTGTTGAACGCTTACCTGCAAGTATCTATAGTTTAAGAATGGTAAGCATATCTCACCCCTCTTTTTTTTTTTTAAACAAATTTACTAAGTAATTTTAGAAGTTTCAACAAAACATAAATTTTTACCTTCTTTGAGAGCTCAAAATTTGTTCTTTGGCCTGTCAACAAGAGTTTTAAAGTAGCTAATGCTGAATTAATGAGGTACTCATGCAGGTGTACGTATGCAGGATGAGATCAGCTGTTGGGAATGTACACTACAACAAAGGGGCAAACAGTGACAAGTGGGGCCCAATGCTTGGCAAGCAAGTTAAACCTCTGCATCTAAGCCTAAGAACAGGAATATAATCCAAAAGGAGCCATGCTCTAAAGCAGAGTGTGGTGGACACATGCAAACACGGTAAAGTTTGGAATGATTATTTTAATTTTGAGCTGAAATTTTCATAGTTTTATTAAAATAGTAATATTTAATCTGTCAACTATTTGAGCACTTGTAAATTTTGCTTTTTAATATAGTACTGGAAAAGATACATCCCAGCACATATTAACTGTAGGTGATGCTACTGAGTAGCACTTTGTTCCTTCGTTAGGGATTTATGGTCCAATCATTTCTAATGTTTTAATGTCTCCTTTAAAGGGGATATGGAAACATAATGAATTAAAAATAAAAAGAGGCATTGAGAGTTATTTTGTAAGAAGGGTACAAAACTGTTTTAGCTCAGCCATCTATTGCAGAAACAGATGCCATGTCATAAACTCCTTTTGTTTTGGATAGTTTTACAGGGATGACATCTGTTTGACAAGGGAATTCTGGTGCTACAGTGGTGTCAAAATCAGTTTTTTCAGAAACATTCTAGAATCAGTTACGCTTTCTGGGGTATAATTTAATGAAACATTATGGTAAAACATTTCACTTTGCAGTTGTTTCAAACTTTAATTCTTAGGAAATCTAAAAAGGAAAGTCACCCCAATATGTTTTATTTCCCATAAACCCTATGTACCACGCTTGAGACATTTAAAGCTTATCAATTTAAGTGAGCTGGTGCAAAGTAGTACAGCTTATTACACTTTATCCCTAATTCTCTGGAAGTGGCATCCACCTTTTCATGGAACTCTTAATTAAATCTTTTGATTCTTTAATATTCCTATTACCAGAAACTCAATTGACTGGTACCTAACTAGTATATAAAAGGATCAGTGTATTTTTTCAATGAATGCAGATGAAATCTGGCAGTCACACATGAAGAATAAGATCACAGCAGAAAGCTTCGGTTACAGTTTGAGGTGGGGGTTTACCATCTGTAAAAGCTATGTTCTCTGTAGGTCGACAGGCGGGAGGAGAGGGAAAGGAGGCTTGCTTTCTATGCTTCAGCCTCTCCAGCTTGTTGGCAGGCCATCTTCTAAGGGTCTGTGGTACAGCATGGCTCTTGTAGGGCAGTCATTTTTAACTGCAATTTCTACTCATATAATGGAAGCTAAATCCTTACCAATCAAGTAAAAATTTCATTTAGTACTCAGAATTTCCTTTGGAGCAAAGCTAAGGTTCACTGACACCCATAGTACAGAAGTAGAAAAGAGTATCTATTTTAGTCCTGAAAATAATTTACATGACAACAAAGGACATTTTTCACTCCATACATCAGCCACTGCAGCCTGTATTTAAAAATACAGATACCTTCCTGCACACATTTCCCATCAGTTGTATCACTGGGAATTTTTGGCTCATTGGAAGTTGCCATTGACAAGGTGTCTGGAAGGCTGTGCTGTTCTCTCTCATGATTCCTCAGATTACTCTAAAAAAAATGAGAGAAATTATGTAATTTTCAATAAATATACAGGTGCAATTACTAGGAGACTAGAAAAAGGGCTTAACTGCTTGCATGGACTATTATCTAGAATATATTACTAACATCTTAAAATGAAATCCTCTGAAACATTGACACATTTGACAATTTACAGAAAAAAAGGTAAGGTAGTTCCTTTTTTTACATTATCTGAAAGGAAGTCACTTCTACTTAGAAGGTGCTGATGCACGACATGTACACACTTACCAACCTCTGGCCGGCTCACGATGGAAAGAGCAGTGTTCAGGATAACACTTCTATAAACATAAATTCAGTCAGTAACCCCTGGACTCCTGCTACTTTCTGCCTTTATATAAACTTGATGTGCTAAGAAGACAACTTCTCCCTCAAGGACAGAAAGCCTTATCTATTTCCACCCCTCCAATCAGTACCTATTTTTCATAGCAGCAATAAAAGAAACTTCTAGAACTTATTTTTGCAGCCCATGTGGATGTACTACTTAGAATTTTATAAAGGTAAGCCAGGCAGCGATTCTCAAATAGAAAAGACTGTTTTATTCCTGATTACCTTTTTTACAACTACATAGGCCCCCATATTCTGAGTAATGAGAAAAAATTGTGTATAATCTAATTAGGCAATTAAAATACATTTTATACAATTTTTCAGTCACTTGACACACTGAAAAATTCTAAACCAATGAATGATTCGGCGAAGGCAAGCTCCTTTTACAAAATAAATCTGATACTGGCTGATGGGTTCATAGTTGGTACACCAGATGAAGAGTCAGACAGTTGGAATAACTCTTCAAAGTTTCCCAGACTGCTCATTAAGCACAGCATATATGGCTTTAATTCCCCTGTACTGGCTTTCTCATACACCATTTTTTTTCCTCCTGATAAAGTGAAAGAAATTATGTAGTTGAGCTGAGTTTTTGGGACGTATGAGGAAATACTTGTTTTGTGTTCTTAATATACAGTTACATCTGTGTAGGTCAAATGTGTACATGTCAATCTACTATGAATTCTCTTGTGATTTAAAAATCAATACTCTTTTAGGGGGGGACAAAGTCTCATTAAGTAGTTCAGGGTAGTCTTGCACTCACTATGTAGGCTGGTATGGCTTTCAACTTAGGGCATTCCCCCTGCCTCAGCCTCCCAAGTGCTAGAATTACAGGCAGGTGCCTCCATGCCTGATAATTTCAACCTTATACATACTAAAGCAATAAATACTGAGACCACTAAAGGAGACACCAGTCTTGGGATACACTTCTCAATCAAACTTGGACTTCAAGGTCCACTTTATTTTTTTATTATTTTTTTTTGGTGGTACCGGGGATTGAACTCAGGACCCTGTGCTTGCCAGGCATGTCCTTATAATCTACTGAGCTATCGCCCCAGTCCCCATTCAGGCCCAACTTTTAACACTAATTAGCTGTGATTCCCCTGGGCAAATTATCAAATTTTTCCAGTACTTATTTTCCTTATCTACAAAATGAGGTGGCTGCATTAGATTTATAAAGTTCTCTCCTCAACCTAAAATTCTGAAGTCCCTGAAAGATTTAGTGAAGTGTTGCTTACCTTATAAGGAAAAGATTCTTCACACTGCTTACATTGGTATATTTTTGTTTTGCAGTGGCTGATCATGTGGCTCTCCAGATCTTTGCTGTTGTCAGCTACGTGCTCACAGATAGGACACTGATATGGCTGTCTCTGCCGATGGACTCGCAAGTGTTGCTTGATGTAGCCCTTGTTACCACTTGTGTAGTGGCACAGGCGGCAACGGTATGGCCGTTCAGCATTAGGGATATACTCCACCACATTAGTCCCTAGCAAGCTTGTATCGCTGTTGGGTTGGCATTGGGCATTGTCCTGCAACTCTTTCAAAATGTCATCATCCGAGGCATTTTGGTCAGTCCTTTCTCTCAGTTTCTCAATTACAGTGAGCAGGGACATGCTGATACCTGTCTTAACCTGCCCATCTGACAATTCCTGTCTACCCTCGGGGAGTGTTACCAAAGTAGAGCTGCTTTGGCTAAAACTAGTTAATCCATCAGAAGAGTTTTTAAGTGGTGACATAATTTTTGAATATGCTGCCAATGTACTCTCTACTTGCTTTTGTCCAGTATCTGGATCTAAAAGGTTTATATCCCCATAGTGCCCAAGATTAGCTCTCGTTAGTTCTGCAGCTCTTATAGGCATTGTGACAAGGGCTTCTGCAGCTAAAGAGTGCAGCCTAAGAGACTCAGAATTTGTCCTTCTTCGGCCTGGAGGGGCATTCTCATCGGTACCTAGGCTTTTACTCACTAACTCACTGTCTTTCTTCTCTGGATTGCTCCAGCCTATAATCAACCCTCCAATATCAACAGTACATTTCTCAGCCTGATAAACATCATCTGTTCTGCCACATTCAGTCTGGGCTTCTGTTGGGTGGTGGTTCTTCCCCTCTTCAATTTCAGCATTCATGAGGAAGTGTTTCTGTGAAAGAGTTTCTTCAGCATTTGGCAAACGTTCCACTATCACATTAACGTGACCTTTTTTATTTGAGCTACTGCTAATGATTTTCTGCGCTGATGAAAGCAGGCTGTCGGGAATCAGATTTTCCTCTGAATCGGACATCACTTCTATTATTTCTTCCTCATTAGGGTCAAGGGTAACTGACTGACTTAGGTGTACTCTGCCTTCTGCAGTCTGTTCTAAAGAAGAGGAAGATGATAATGGTTCTGAGCTGCAAATCTGTACTTGCACTGATGGTCCATTGTGGATACTCAGTTCACTATCTCCAATAGCAATAACTACAGCATCAACCTCACCTGGTGCAGCAGACACTGAAGAATCCAGCAAACCAAGGGGCTCGTTTTCATTTTCAAAGATTGGATAGGTACAGTCAACTTGGCCTGCATGTTTCCAAGCGTGCGTCTTTAACATTCTCTGCTGGCCACAAGTGTAACTGCAAAATAGGCATCGATACATGCCATATTGTTCATATGCATACCACTTTCTTCTGCCCATTTCTGTCATGGATGCAGTTTGGACATTAAGAGTTTGTGGACTGTCCACTTTTCCTGGGGTATCAGGAATGGTTTCAACATTTCTTTCTGTGGTTCTCTGACATAATGAATTGGAGGAACTTAAGTGCTGTGGGGCTTTGGATTGGGAGTGACTGTTGGCATCATTTTTGTGGTCATTTGCCACATGAGCTTCAAGCGCCTCCTGGCTTCTGGATGTAATATGGCACTCCGAGCATATGAATACCACTTCATTCTGCTGACCATGCTGCTTGATGTGGTCTTTTAACACAGAAAAAGATGACGACAGAAACTTACAAAGGCCACACTCATAGGACATAGCCTTCCCATCGTTCTGGACAAGAGAGCCAGTGATCAAATTTGCTTGCGATACCTCAGCTCTTCTAATACCAACAGCAGGTGATGGGGTTACTTTAGCTGGAATCTCACAAAGTTCTTGGGCTTCAAAACACTGTGTAGTAGCACTTGAACGCAAGCGTTTTTTCCCAATTAGAAGACATTTCTGTGACTTTTCGTGCTCTACTATCTTGCTTAACTTCTGGATAACATGGATTAAGGGATCTGCTTTAAGTTTTCTTTGTTCATCGACTTCCAATGACGGACTGATAACACCTTCGGCAGTCAATACAGCTTCCTGTTCCCCAGTATCTGGCACCAACATGGCAACACTGCTGCTTTCTTCCATATCTAAAAGAATGACATGCAGGAAAAAGACACACCAGGTTACAGGATAATTACAGCTATACAATTCAGAAAGTACATTCCAATTTTAGTGTCTAATCTCATCTAATAACTTTCTAAGCTAGCAGCTACCTATCAATGTACCTGGTTATTCCCCAAGTAGGCTTAAATTTCTTAAGAATTTGTCTTTGAAATGCAGTCTTCTGTAAAGCTTGGTGATGGAGATCTTGCTGTCCATATTTCTTTGGAAATAACTTTGCTTTGTTTTGTTTTTTGTATTTTAGTACAGGGTCTACAGGGTAATAATTCTCCTGTTTTCAATCTCCCAAGAACTGGGATTACAGGCGTGTACCACCTTGCCGTCTCAGTGCACCCTGCGGGTGGGGCTGGCACAGCATGCTGGGAATCGAACCCTAGCTGCTGCATCTGCCTAAGCAGGCACCTTAATCTGTTGAGCTATTTGGCCGGCCCTGAAAATGACTTTAACAATGTTTATTTCCATTTTTCTTCACTGACTTTGCTCTTGACATCTAGCTGGACCTTATTATTACTTTCTGTTTTGCAGAATACCAAAAACAAATAAACAACAAAACTCCTATTTTTTGATTTAAATATAGCCATTCTCAGGGCTCATGTTACTATGAAACAGCATCATGTAAAGCCAATATGATCTGATACAATTTGTTCTACAGTGCTAGGCACTGAGGCAAGGGCTTCATGCATGCTACGTAAGCTGGTACCACTGTACTACACCCCCAGCCTTGATAATTTTGAGGAAGTACTTTTTATACAAAAATATAATTGTAGATTTATTACTAAAATCACAATATTTTCCCACTCCACATCTTTGAAATTGTGAAAATATAGTCATGTGAACTATTATAAAGGACATAGTAAATTTGAGATGTACATCCAGATGAAACTAAATAAACACAATGGCCCACTTCCTTCTTTCATTTCCTTTGATTTATCTTCCTGAAAATAAACCACAAAGTACGCTGTGGTTTTTTCCTAGAAGTCGTATTAGTGGTCAACTATTACTCATACCCACATACATCTACTTCTTTTCCTAAAAGTGTAAGGTACATTAGAGAAGGAAACAGCGACATTCCCATTGTGTTTCAGGTCCTGAAATGAATGGAATCCTCAGAAGAGGTTATCTGTAGGTTCCAATAATGCATTACTGCCATGAAAGTCACCAAAGGTAAAATACTCATAAATCTTTCTTCCAAGTCTTGAATATTCTTTGTATTTCCTGGCAGCACTTTAATTTCAAACATTTCCTTTGGCTTAAAGTAAAATTAATTTGTTGACTTGGATCACATTTTTAAGCTTAGGCTTTTCTCCAGCAACAAGTTTTGTTTTTCCACATTTTAGGTGCATTCTGGAATCTTACAACATTTAATAAAAGCCAACAAATTTTAGTGGCACTAGCTACAGACCAAAGACCAAGGTATTCTTAATCTTCAGTAGAGGCTCTGTATTTTTATTTCAGATGGCGACTCATGGCTCCTCTACCCCACACAGCTGCATGAGCACGCCAGAGCCCTTGCAGGATCACACTGAAAATTACCCTGGTGGACTCCACTAGCACTCAAACTTGCTTCGGTGCTAGTCTGCCTGCATCATCTCTTGCCAGCAATTATGATTTTCCCTCTTATTTTCTCCTCTTTCTGGCACACCAGCTCTCTGCATCTTTGGTCTACATCAGGCAAAAACACAAACATTTTACCCTTGGCTTCTTTAGTATTAGTCCTTCCCTCTTTCCTAATACTTTGTCCCATCAGGTCAGCTTTATTCTCTTTTTCTGGGGCATGTCTTCTACTTGTCCTCACAGCTGGGAGTACATTCTACAACTACTACAACACTGCTGCTAGTCTAGTTCTCAAAGGCTAAAGATCCTTCAGTTATTCTCTCTAAACCACTTGTTAAAAAAAAAAAAAAAATTTTTTTTTTTTCATTTTCCTCAGAAAGAACAAAGGTCTTTTTAGATGCTCACACTCAGCCTCAAGTTACTGAAGAGATGAAGGGCAAACAATTTGCTTCTTTGGAAAAATTCCTTTGTCAATTCCTGAATCACTTTACTGCCTTAGAATTCTACACTTTCAGGTCAAAAGGAGCTGTGGCTCTTTATGTGAGTTCCTGTTACGATTATTAACTTAAAGCTGGATTTCTTTCTGTTCAGTTGTTAAATGCAAATTAGTTAAATAGTAAGTTTAGTAACAGGAATCCCCATTCACTTTCTTGAGCAAGCTATGAAGTGGAACATCATATATGGCTGATTGATAACCTAGAGGTTAACAGTAAATGTTTGCTGGACAGACTTTGCACACTCACAGAATCACAAAGGTGATTCATTTTATTTCTCTTCCAGTTAATGATGTAATAGGAGGGCGACAGCACAGTGCAAAGTGCACCCCATGGATATTTCAGTGTGTTCCTAAAAAAAAGAAAGAAAAGAAAAAAAGAAAGAAAGGAGATAATGAAGAGAGGGGGAGGAGTTCATCTTATCTCAAGAAAGACCATACAAAAGAATCTGACAAAACACATTTTTAAAGCTGTGCCTGCTCAGGCATTAGGAACTAATGGGAATTTGCAGCAGATGCTCCAATTTTCCCTGAACATTTATGTAAGTATCTCATTTTAGAGGCTGCATACATTTGGGGATAAGTACAGTAATGGCAGCTATAAAACAGGCATGTCAACATAAACTATATCAGGAAACACCTGAAAAACCAGTTTGGGTCCACATGCAAATATCAATGCACAAGTTAAAACTCAGGAAAATAGAAGCCTCTGTTAAAAAAAGGTTAGACAAACAGCTCACATGAAAGTATACACACTGGGGCAGTTATCTTAAAGCCAACTCAAGTTTTCACAAAAATTTTAATTAGATCTCTTAAGAAATCTTACACATGATATACATATCTACACATTATATGTACTCTACATGTACTTATAGTCACATACACATATAACCTTAAGGAAAGAATAACTTATTTGAATAAAAGAGATGAAGTTGCATAAGTATCTAAGAATTCTTTATGCTGTTGTACTTGTGTAAATGTTTCAAGTTTCTCATTAAAAATTTCAAAACAAAAAAAGTGCAAGGCATCAAAAAAGTAGCAGGAAAGATGAAAACATTTTAAATTCACAGCACTGATAGCTGTAAACCAAATGGAGTGGATAAGATAAACACTCAGAAGCTAAAAACAATGAATAGTTTTTGAATAATGGAATAAGTAATATAAAGGGAAAATCACCAGAGGGCAACAGTCAATGGCCAGATCCTAACAGAAATGAAAGAACTCCCTTGGGCTAGGAAAGTAAGCAAAAGTCTTTCTGAAGAGGTAAGATGTACACCAGACCCCAAAGGAGGTGCAGTGTGCCAGACATCATCCATTTGCCCTTTAGCCTCCCTGAATTTCTCCTACTACTCTGCTCTTGGACCCAGGAGAATGACATTATTAGGCTCCCCTACTCCTTGGTTTCTGGTTAAGATCTGCCAATGGAGAGCCATGACAGATCAGGGGAACATAGCAGACTAAGAACAGGATATCCATCATCTGAGCACGTCACCTCTAGGTCACCTTGGACTGGTTGTGTTCCTCAAAAGAGGGCCACTTCTTTCCAGACAGGCTGCTCTATGAGACTTTGCTTCTGGCTCTGGCACCCCTCCCTTCTCATGATACCGCTAGATGCTAAAGGCATTTTTTTCTTGTGCTCTGCCTATACAAATCCAAATGCTTTCTAAGAGGAATTTTGAAAATGTACTCTCCCTGAATTATCCTAATGTGTGTCACTGGCTTCTTTGGGGAATACTACTGATACAAGGGCAAGATTGACAAGAAAAGCTGCCATACCATCATTTATTTGTGTGAGAATAAACATGCTATTTAGAGCACAGAGAAAATATTAAAATGGATGAACAGGAAAGTTCAATAGAAAGATAAGACTAGAGGCATGAGTGAAACAGATTTTTTGTATGACGTCACTAGATATAACATCAAATCAAACTGTTGCATAGAAATAATCAAAAATTGTATTCCAACCCAGCAAAGTTCTATAATAACCTTTTCCACTAAGTCTTTTAAATCTTTCCTTGACAACAGTAATACTGAGGCAAAAGCTTATAATTAATGTCTTTCCCAAAAAGAGTTAACAGCCAAATTATTTTAGTTGTCTTTATTTCCTTATAATTTGCTATTTGGTTTACTTGTGTATCTAATTAGCTCCTTTTAGTTACAGCAGTATGGTTATCCTAAGTCAAATCAAGCTGAACAATTCATGTTCAACTGGAGAAAGGCTGTAATTTTCTGTGTATATACAAAGACAGCACAACAGCACAATATGATATAAAGAACTGTTTCACACGAAAGATCTGTTCTTTTTTCAACTTGAAAAAAATTGCTCAACAGAAGTAATGCCAATTAATTTTCCATTTTCCTAGATTCTTATAATTCAAAAATACAAAACATTTATTTTGTTCAGACCAAAAAACAATAAGGGAAAGATACTCATGGGTCTCTCCTCTAAAGTGCTGTCAGTTAGCTGTGTGACCTTAGGCAAGTCACTACTTCTGTGGGTTTTAAGTTCTTCAGGTTAAAATTGAGAGGGTGGGGTTGGGTAAACTTTCAGGTGCCTAAATTACAAACTGTGTGTATAAAGTTATTTGGAAGCTGCCTACACTTTGTAGGTTTACTGTACTAATCTCAGCTATAATTCATTTGATTTAAAATATCCCTAGCTTAATGTAATTATTAGCTGCCACTAAGAAAAAAAAGCATAAATATCTTAAGGGCATCAATTTCATAGTGTAGAATTTTTTAGCTGGCACCTAGCCTAAGAGAATATTCTAATTTGGCAGTGACAGTTTAGACATAAGGGCTAACTAACATTTACCAATATTCGAATTTACTAAAATTTACTGGGCACATATAATGTGCCAAGCACAGTGCTAATATGCTACAAAAACGAGTAAGAGGAAAGCCTTGCCCTTGAGATTCAAGTTCAGGGAATGCTGCCTGTGCAGACTCTGTATAATACTCATGTAACTCCTGGTAATAGTAGCCTCTTCTTTGCAGGTGAGGAACCTCACAGTTGTAAAGTAGTATAGATCTGAAGCACAAAGAGATACGCCAGTTTAAGAATTGGAATCCAGTCAATTTAATTCTAAAACTATGCTTCCTTTAATATACCAATTTCCTTTCAATTTTCAAGGAGAACAAGAACATTGAAAAGACTGACGGGCTTTTATAGCTAAGCTATGTCAGTGTATTTGATCCTGGTAACTCTGGGATCTGCTAGATGGTGTTATACAATCTTACAAATAAGGAAACTCAGGGAGGTTTAGGTGACTTACCCAAGGTTACATGGCTGTTAAGTGGCAGAGCCAGTGTCTTTCAAACCAATTCCTGAAATTAATACAGTCCCTTGGATCAATCTTCAAAATTCAGCTGTGACCAAGAACGAAAGTATACAGTATCAAAACATTTCTCTTTCTTGGTGAAACAGAGTAATGTTTCATTTGGGCAGTGAAAAACTTTCCAGTACTTTGTATCAAAAAGAAATTCAGATGGATGTTCATACTATGTAATTGTGTGATATAAATTCACATAATTTATCTAACAAGTGGACATGAGGATTTTGAAAAATTAAGACATAGCTCTGGAAACTTGTAACTGTATTTCTTTTTACCTCATAATGTATGTAACTGGCTCAAGACACTACAGGTTTTACTGACTTTCTAATGAGTATGGAACAGTAAGTTACTATTTTAATCTTAATGCAAAATACAACATAGACAGTGATTATACAAATTATACAAGCATAGTGGGCACAATAGTGGCTTGAAAGTATAAGTCATTGGCTTGATCTATGTGTCTCCTAATGCAGTTTCCTGCCCTGTTCCTACATTTCTTTGCTACCATTTCTTATGCTAGCCAAGAATAAGATGAAAAAAATGCTCATTCTTTTCATTTAGAAAGCAACTAACTTATTCATTTGGTTAAGCAGAACAGTTTACTGGTGAGACTGAAAGCAAATCATTGGGCCTCCTCTCAAGTTAATTTTCAACCAGCTACTGCAGTAAAGAAATGAAGGGCCAGACTTTCTCTTTTAATCAATATAAAGTGGAATGCTGAAGAAAGTACAAACTCAAGGTGGTGATAAATCCAGTGACTGCATGATAACAGCAATGCAGACTGATAGCAAATTACAGCCCAGTGTAGACCTAGAAAGACCAACCATCTTCAGGTTTGGGACAGTTACCCTTTGCCTAATTAATCATCCAGGCCTTCCACACAAACCATTCCCTTGAGACGCCCTCACCCGTCTAAGATCTCTAGTGAGATCATGCCATTGGGGAAGACGGTGAAGTGTGAGGAAGCTTTTCTGTATCAGTTTCTACATCAAAAAGTGACTAAAAGGCAAAGAGGCAATGGGGGTTGAGGAAAGTAATCAAGAGGTAGGCCGTGAACACTGTTAAGTCTATTCCGACTGGCCTAAACGATTCACAACTGCAGATGAAAAAGCAACGCCTCAGGGAGGCCTGAGTGGGGACTGACTAGTGACTGTGTGGACAGCGCCAGGCGCCCCCACCCCTCGCTGCTAGGCAAGCCTGGGTCTCCGCAGCCTAGCCCTAAAAGGCACAGCGGACAGAAATGAGACATGGAACTTGGGGCGTGTGGCGAGCACCGGACTGGTGTTCGCAGTCTGAGGAGGAAAGCGGGCACCGGTTGAGGCCTGAGGGAAAGATGCACATGGCCGGCGGCGGCGCTCACAGCGAAAGGGGCGGCCCCGGGGCGCGGTACCTGCGGTCGGGCGGCGGCTGCTGCTTCCGCTAGCCTCTTTTGGCCGGCTAAGGCACTGTCGTGCACTCGCCCTCGTCCTCGCCCACCTCTCTCCCGGATCCTTTCCCTCTTTTCCCCGCTTTCCCCCTCCTCATCCGGAGCTGCAAGATGGCGGCGCGTGGAGCAGATCACGTGAGCCGCTGGCGAGTCAGGTGATTCGAGTGGCGGGCGGCAGGGGCGGGGCAATTGCCCGGCCACGCCCACAGGCGTCCGGGACGGCTGGTGCGGGGCGGGGCGGGCTCTAAGGAAGGCGAAGGCCCTGGAGCTGCAGTCGCCCTCCCTGGCGGGCGCCCGCGAAATCTCTCTGGTTTATTGCCTTGTTTGTGGTCGTGTAGTTCTAGAAGTCAGTGACTCTTCCCACTTCGGAGTTTCCCCGCGTAGCCTAAATTCGCTGTGAGCTAACCTGTTAGTCTTCATAATTGGCTCTCTCGGTAATGGTCATTGACGTTCTCTTCATCCCTGTGTGAATTATTGTAATTTCTTCCGATTGGGCTACACGATTTGAGGTGTTTTTGTTTAAAATGTAGATACCCTGGCTAGGTTCATGTCCTTAATTCACGGCAGCTCTAGGAAAATAGTTTCGTCTGAGGGGCTGTGGAGGGGTTCGGGGCGGTCTTGGTTGGCCTTGACCCCGGAACAAAAACCTCAGTCATCTTAGGACAAGGTTGTAGCTTGTCAGAAGGAGCTGTTTCACGAGCTCCTCACTGAGGCATAAGCAGTCCTGTTTGGACTCCCCAAGCTAATTTGGTGATGTACAAGGCCAGTGAAGAATTCCATCCAGTGTCCAAAAGAGTACTTGAGCAGTTTTGGTGTATGAGGACCTACACAGCCTAGCGCTTCTCAGCACTTTGCATTAAACTCAGCAGATGGGCGGGAGACAAGGGGAAGGAAGTAAAACTGAAGATTCTGGTGATAGCAGCGGACTGACTTGTTTGGTGAGATTATCATTTGTATATGTCCAGTATAGTTAGGGGCTGTTTTGTTTTTAAATGGAAGACCCAAAATATTGAAAAAAATAATTATAACAAAAATTGTCACTGTTGAGACAGGGCTGTAATTTTACTTATGTATCTCAGGATATAAATTTGCATGAATTTGGGTGTTGAGAAACCAAGAATTTTAGAATTGTGCTATGCCCCAGGATCTTTCACCAGTTGAGCCAAATAGCTAAGAAATAAAAACAAAGGTCCAGTAACTGTTTTCACTAAAAGAGATGGAGTACCAGATGAGCATGTTTGGCTGGAAGAAAAAAGAAAAAAAAAAAAAAAAAAAACACCTCCCAAAACAAGGACAACCAGAAATACAGGAGGGTAAAAGTAAAAACAATTAATACGAAAATTTCTTTCCTCCCATTGGGCTACACAAGTCTAGTTTATAACTACCTGAAGAGAGACTCTTTTTTGAGTGAAGTCTTAACTAGTAGCTAAGAATCTGAAAGTAGCCATAACAGAAATCAGAAATTTATTTGGTTAGGGGAGAGGGCAGGGGTGTCACTCAAGGTAGAGTGCTTGCCTAGCATGGGAGGTCCTGGGTTTGAGCCCCATCACAATAA